TCACAATGCGTTTAGATTGCGTCGGGGGTATCGACTAATTACCGGTCGCGATTTAGTCGAGCGTTCCCGCCCGCCGACGATATAACATATATATATATATATATATATATATATATATAGCGTGAGACCGAGATGTGTAGATCGAGTTAAACACACTAAAGAAAATGATCATGTCAAAAATAATCAACAAGGGAGAGAGAGAAGAGAATTTATCTTCTTCTTACACTGAAAACAAATTTATTGAATTCGAATAAATATTTATTTCAATACTGTCTAATAAAAAGCATTTATTTGAAATTTAATGATATTAATTTGATGGAAAAATATTTATTAATTGAATAATTTTTGTAATGATCATGTCAAAAAAATAATCAACGAGGGAGAGAGAGAAGAGAATTTATCTTCTTCTTACACTGAAAACAAATTTATTGAATGCGAATAAATATTTATTTCAATACTGTCTAATAAAAAGCATTTATTTGAAATTTAATGATATTAATTTGATGGAAAAATATTTATTAATTGAATAATTTTTGTAATGATCATGTCAAAAAAATAATCAACGAGGGAGAGAGAGAAGAGAATTTATCTTCTTCTTACACTGAAAACAAATTTATTGAATTCGAATAAATATTTATTTCAATACTGTCTAATAAAAAGTATTTATTTGAAATTTAATAATATTAATTTGATGGAAAAATATTTGTTAATTTAATAATTTTTGTTTCAGTGTACAAGAAAATAAAAACTGTCTTAACGTAATAAAATCTCGATTACAACGAATCCCTCATTTGAACAAGATTGAGTCTCTCTCAGACTCTGAGTCCGGAAATGAATGTAATGTTAACGTGTAATTTTGCAGCGTTCAATATAATAATATATATGTTAAAATGATAATAATCAATAACGTCTGTATAAATAAGATGCGAGGCTCTTCCAGAGCGTCGCGCGTTCATATTTCTTGTTTGTGATCGTTTAAACGTTTGGTTGGTTCTTCCTTTGGGATTCGAATACTCTATTCGAGATTCGGCGACGAAGCGCGATTTTGCATGCCAAAAACGCGATATCCAGGAGTCGGTAACGGTATATAAAAAAAACCGGTTTCCGGTTGAAGGTTCTGTAATAGGTGTTCGCAAAATTCGTAGACCGGCTTCGGAGACTAAAACCGTCGCGCGCGTTTTCTCTCTTTCTTTTGATAACATCGCGAATAGAAAACTTTACATATTCGATTGATCGATAAAAATCGAAAGAATTATGTACGAGAGAAATTGTATAGAGTCCATGATAGAGATTTCTGTCGAGATGTTTTGTAAAGAATATATCATAAAGAAATAAATCTACCGATACGTTTCGTATAATAAATATGCAAAAACAAGAAAAGTGTATATGGTAAATATGTAAAAAATATGTAAATAATATTTCTCAAAATCATCCAATATCTCTTTTTTGCACGATTCTTTCGTCCATTCGAATAATGTCTCTACAAAAATATTCTCGAATAATTATTGATTAACCTTTTGACAAATTTAGTTTTAAAAATGACATATGAAAAAGTCACATTCTTCGATTAATTTCAAGAACGCTTTACTTTTTACCGGGACGCATAAACTTGAATAAATTACAAAATGCATGTATGGTATTAAGAATTAGAAGAGTACTACAAGAAACGCGATAATGTTTTCCTCGATGTATTTAAATCGAGTAGAAAAATTGCCCTCGACTTAGCGGGAAAAAGAAAAAACCTGTCATCGTTTTTCGGAGTAATAAACATTATGTAGCTAAAAAATAGTAGCTAAAAATTTTAGCTAAAATGTAAAATTTCATGTGTAATATAGAAAATTTAGCTCTGGTATATACGAAAAGAATTTTCTTTTAAAATTTCTCACCCTGTGTGTGAAAATCATATATAGTAATCGTAGGACAATATGATGTTGGAAGAAGAATTTCAGAAGAGTTTCTCTGATTAAATATTTACACAATAAATAATTAGTAAAATTAATCCAACATATTTTACTTATTATAGTAGATATTAATATTTTTAGTGTGGTAAAAATTTAATTAGAAAAACTTATATAAAATTCTTCCAATATCATATTGTGTCCCACGATTAGCATGATTTTCAGGGTAAATTCTAAGAAAAGAAAATTCTTTCCGTAAAATTAATTCAACATATTTTACATCTTATTATAATAGATATTAATATTTTTAGGGTGGTAAAAATTTAATCAGAGAAACTCATAGAGATATAAAATTCTTCCAATGGCATATTGTGTCCCACGATTAGCATGATTTTCAGGATAAGAATTATATTCCAAAAAAAAAGAAAATTCTTTCCCTGCAGTTAATTTTTGTTTTCCGTGCGAAGAGCAAGAAATTCATTAATGAAATAGCGGTCTTTAGCCGAAAATCTTGGAGCCTTAACGACAAGGCTTCGTAATGTGAAGAGTACACGCTCTCGTTCGTGCGGCGTGAGAGATCGCACGGACATATATATATATATATATACATAGTACGCACGCACACGCGTGCCACATAGATAACTTCCTTCAGGTAAGGCAGAGGAGAGGCGTACGACGACGTGTGCCAGACGGACGGCGGTATCAAAGGATATTTACCCTGTCAACAGCGTGGCTTTACGCGGAGACGCCGCCACGTCTATAAGGGGAGAACACATAGTATATACTCACTCTCGTACCGAGAGATAATAGTAATGGATTATTATTGCTTCGCTCTATTATTTTACGATCTAGCGCTTCCCGGGAATTGATACATTATCGTCGTGCCAAACCGAGCCAAGCCGAGCCGAGCCGATTGACGAATGATTAAGATTGTAAATATATCCATCATTTTTTTCGATCCACTATCTACTCGTTCAGATATACATTGTTGGTCTAAGACCCTGCGTACAATAGAGAAAATATTAGGAATAAATATTTAATATTAGGAATCAGAATTATACGTTTTGTTAGATTTAATGTTTATTTAATTTAAATATTTTTATATGTTCAATTAACAAAATAATGTTTAATTGAAAGGTTTAGTCAAGTTAACAAATTTTTGTGTGTGTATAGTATATATCAAAGTTTTTTCGATTTTATTATTTTAAAATAATTCCTATTCCTAATATTTTCTCTACTGTGCGCAGGGTTTGAATTGAAATGAATCTGATATTCATCATTCGATGAAACAAATCATTTAAATCGTGACACTTGAATCAGTGATTTTTATATATGTATGGATGTAGAGTGTTTATAAAGTTCATACTATAAGGAAAAGAATAAAGTGATTAAAATTCATCTGTCAGATGTCAGATACAATCATTCTCAATCAAAAATCGATACCTTGTCTTTTAAAAAAAGTTTATTAATTTATAAAAATAATTGCTATATAAATTTTATTAATTTTTAATAAATTTTTTAAAAGACAACGTGTGTCGATCTTTATAATGATTATATCTGACAGATCTTGTGTGTGTGTGTGTGTGTGTGTGTGCATTGCTGAGGAAATGTCTAATTTTGCAGAATTCATATATAGAAAAAGATTAATAATTAAGTGTGCAAATATATAGTTTCAGCCACTTAATTTTTTCTTTTTAGGCAAAGGTACACATATAATATATATAATATATACTATGCGTATAATATACATATAAAATGAGAGAGATTAATTAAATATTCGATTCGGATCAATCCCATCGAGTTTTTTATCAAAGGATAGCCGGTGCATCGATAATCGATATATCCGACAAAAAAATGGACGGCTATTATACGCCTCGTTGGAAACTTATAATGTCGCGCGATTTATGAGAAAAACTGAAAACCGGTGTAGTGACCAGCCGAGAGACACGTGCGCGATCGCTGATTGATACATACACCGTAATAAAGAGGAGATAAATATACAATGACTTGGGCTTAGACTCTCAAATCGGCATTCACGCTCGCTATTGTGAGCGAGACTCGATTACCGATTAATTACCGATTAATTAAATTGACATTTGCGCCGTTACGCGTTGCATACCGAATCGAGATTACGCTTGATCGACGAGACTTGGCTTCTGCCAGGAATACGAAAGCCCTTGCATAATCAGATGCCATTGTAATTGACTAACGTTTTCTGCACTCGTTAGATGCATTCGATCTCTCGAGATACGCAGATTCTCTCTTTCTCCTTTTTTGTGCAATTTTGAATTAATGAAAGAGGATTTATTCAATTTGATGAGAAAAATATTTATTTGATATAAGAAAATCCTTTTCAAAACTTTTTATTTATTTCAAATAAATGATTTATAAGGCAGTATTAAAATAAATATTTATTAATTTAATCATTCCTTTTTCAGTGTAGCAACATTTTAGTTTCCTCGACTGTTTATTTATCGTGTTTCATACTCAAAATCAATGACAAAAATTTGTAAGTTCGTGCGAGTTTCTTATACTTTCGATGACAAAGTCTCCACTATTATATTATCACCATACGTATATATGTCAGAATGAAAATGTTATCGTATTAACATGCGCTACCGCATATTCGTATAAGCGATACGACGCGCTTTTGCACCTGATTTTATCGGTTCGACAAATATCCATCGCATATACAGGTGAAACGCACATAGGGAGAATTTTTTTCTTAGAATTTACCCTGAAAAGCATGGTAATCGTGGGACACTATATGCGGTATTGGAAGAATTTTATAAAAGCTTCTCTGATTAATATTTATCACAATAAAATATATTAATATCTACCACAATAAGAAATTTATTATGTACATATTAATATTTTTTATTCTCCTATAAATATTAATACTAAATATTATCTCAGAGAAACTCTTATATAAAATCATTCCAATTTACCATACACCATTGTCCCACGATTACCATGATTTTCAGGATAAATAAAGACACAATTTCCTCCTCTGGTGCACCTTTCCAACTCCTCAGTTCGCTCGCACGAGACTCAAAAAGAGACACGGAAACGAAGAGGTATTCAAAATACGGATTTACTCACCTGCATCTGCAGCCAGGAGTAGTCGATGTACGCGGTGGTGGTGGTGCTGGTGGGGGTGACGGGTGCCGTCGAGGAGATCTGCTGCCAGCCGTCCTGGGGGTTGCATCCCCCGAGGACGGCCGCGAGGGGCCCGTCGGGTTGGGCCCGATCGGGCACTATCTGATCCGCGGCGTACTGATGATGGGCGACGTAGGTCGGCTGGATCGTCGGCGGCTGGACGCCGACGGTGGCGGCGGAGGGTAGATGACCGGACAGGGACGTCGGATGATGGGGGTGGACGTGGTGCTGGTGGACGACCCCCGTGGCGGCCGCGGCGGCACCGGCGGGCAGACAGCACACACTCGCGTCCATCCGTGGCGGCGACGGGGAGTCGTAAAAGCGCAGCTGCTCCGGCTCCTGCCCTCGTCCTGCTCCTGTCGTCGTCCTGCCGAGGATCAAGCCTCGCGGCACCATCCAATCCGCGACCGCCTATCTTACGAGGATATATATAATATATATATATATATATATATATATAAATATATATATATATATATATATTTGTTCGATCGAGGATGTCCGCGAGATCGGTAGCCCTTCGGCAAGGAATGAGAGTTCTCCCGAAGAGTTCTTTTTCTTCAGGTCTTCGAAGGCGCTACCATCTTTCGCGGCTTCCTTTTTGACGCTGCTCCGGTCCTCAAAGGAGCGATTTTGTTTTCTTCCTCTTCGAAGATTCTGTCTTCTCTCCGAGGTAGATAACCGGGACCACTAATGAGATTTCACGTACATCGGAACCGCGCTGACGTCCCGCGCGAGTTCCGTACGCGAAACACTATCCCGCACCAGGAGGCTGCCGAGGGCTCCTCGAATGTGAACATTGCGTCCTGCGAGAAACAGAATTAATTAACTAATAGTTCAAGTCGTTCATCCTCGCCGAACATGTTGAACAACACCAAGAGGAAATATATATTATTCGAACTCGAGTTTGAATCACAGATCGTCGACGATGCACTTCGAGTTCTCGCGACAGTATTCAGGCGAATCTTAAACGAAAACATCGGACGAGTCCGAAAGGATCCCGATCACTCTTCGCGCACAATTACGTCGTTACGAATGTTTTCCCCGGGGATTCGGCATCGTCGCCGCGACAATTTTTCTTCTTACGAACGGCCACTCGTCGAGACGGAACACTTTCATTGGCTATATAAATGGCACTCGCGACGGATATCGGGAGGAGGTTAAAAAAGCGCGCGAGCGAGCGCGGCGGGACCCGCGAAATGACGTTTCTCCCCAGTGACAGCGCGCCGCACTCCCGTTAACGCGTTGACGTGCGCGCGCGCGTGCCCGAAGGACCACGAGGACGAGGGCGGAGAGACAGAGAGAGAGAAGACTTACGAGGCGAGGGTGGTGGTAGCGACGACGACGATGGTGGTGGTGGGACACGAGATCCCCGAGGGTGACGGACGAAACTGGCGCGCGCAACTCTTTGACTCGTCCGTCGTTCGCGTCGCGTGCGCGCATGCGTGGATGCGTGTCGTCAAGGCAACGGTTCCAGAGTAACTGCCTGGCGAACGCAGACGCGGCGTGTCGCGTTCTCTTTCGCGCGCGCTCTCTCTCTCCCTCCCCCACCCGTTTACTCGCTCTCTCTCTCTCTCGTTCTCTGGCTCACGCCCCGGGCGCGACCGATTCTAGGCGGCCATCGAGCGACGCCCCCGTCCCGTAGCCACGTTCATGCGAGTGCTTCTCGTTCCTATGTTCACGTCATGGTTTCTCTCTCTTTCGCGCGCGCCGAGCGTACATATATATATATATATGTAAAAATATACACATATGTGTACATATGAATATATATATATATATATATATATATATATATATATATATATATATATATACATATATTCATATGTACACATATGTGTATATTTTTCCCTCTACTCCGTGAAGTTTCCTCGCGGTCCCTACTCGCTCACCTTCGGCTGTCTCGATCGAGCGAATCGTCGCGTCCTTTTCCCACCCGCGCGATTATCGACACGAGCTATCTCTCCTACCCTCCTCCGACTTTGGCACACTTCTTCACTCGGCGTTCTCCCCCTCCCTCCTCTCCTCACTTTCCCCGCCCTTACCTTCATCGAACCTCCCGCGCGCTTACTTTCTTCCATCGAGTCCTCCGGCGAATCATCCCTCGAAGCATCCCCTCGGCTCTTCCTTTCTCACCCTCCGAAAACGAATCGAATGGGAGAGAAACGCGCGACACGTCGCGTGCAACTAACGCCATTTTACTATCTACCCTCTCGAGATTAATCGAGATTCTCGAGAAAGCGACGAGAGTCTGAAGTTGGCGCGTATCGATTACGCGCGAATTTTATAATGTATATATAATGTATGTGACGCGATGTAAAAAGTATAATATATGTAACACAGTGACTTTCTCTTTAACGGGATAAGAAAGCTGTATAGGAGTAGGAAAAATCATTTTCATGCCGATTGACAGAATTTTCGCGCGTTATTTGAAACGAAGAGCTATGTTTAGAGATGAAAATTTAAATAAAAAAATTATGCATGCTATATATGTTGTAACTCGCGATTTGGATTATTCTTACATCTTTTGTCTCTTGACTAAACTTGACTAAATCTTTCAATTAAATTATTATTTGATTAATTGAACATACATATATTAGTATTTATATCAAATATACGTTTTCTTAGATTTAATATGTTAATTTAATATTTTATATTTTAAATTAATAAAGATTTAGTCAAGTTGACAAATTTTTTTTTGTTATCTCGAAAACGATATAACGATTGAACGAATCGTTCGTTTTAAAATTTAAAAACGATTTATTACAATTGGATAATATTGATATGACAAACGTGGGTTATCGAAAATTTCCGTGAATCAAGGAGAGATGCGCGCGATTGATCGATCGATCGATCGATCGATCGCGACTCAATTTGTCCGCGACTCTTCTCGCAGAATTTATTCGTGTACACAAGAGAGGCATGCATCTCCGCTCTTTCTCTCCCACCCCTCGTTCCCTCCACCCCCTACCTTTGATCCGCGACGAGGCAGAAAGGTTCCCTTTCTCTTTAGATTGTGAAACGATTTTCTATCGCGGCGCTTTAACTCTCCGGCGCGGCGCGGATTTATTATATATGCAATGGGTTACGCAAATTACGACAAAGTGCAAATATTTCACATGACCTGCACCTGCGTGACTCCCCTTTCTACACGTGATCGTTTAAGCAAGCACGTGAATCGTGACGCGCGCAAAGGTGTGCATATATATATATATATATATATATATATATATATATATATATACAATATTATATTATACACATATGTGAGTCTCGAAATTCCGACGAGCTTCCTGGAACCAGGAATCCCTCGTAAATTCTCCGGAATATACGTAACACTAGCGCGAATTACATTCTTTGGCTGATGTTTCCTGGGAACCGAATTACCGCGAGAAACGAGATAATGCACGCTAAACGTGGTTACGAGTTTCGGAAATACTCGTTTCTCGTCTCTCCCCTTTTCTGCAAAAAGGCGCTTACAATCGCGTTTAACTATGTATATACTATAAAAACACGCGAATACTAATATCGTATAAATTCGTTTTAATCGCGAACTTGTTATGTAAATTTTTAATTAATGCAACGATAACAGCGGGAAAATACGGTAGAATTCACAAATATATATATATAAAAAAATAAAAAATGTTTCTTCTTTTGCTATATAATTTTTTTACACGCTGTTACCAAATACGAAAAATATGAGAATAATTACGAGAGAACTTGCGCCTTTTTACGCAAAAAAAAAAAAATTAAATTGATCAATGTCACAATTTGAATAAATAAATAAATTTAGAAAAAGTTATTTACCTATAGACAGGAAACGACATGAGAGGAAACCGCATGGTAAAACGCGGTGACGTCGTAAAATATACAACGTCCAAGTTTAGGGTTAAAAAGTCCCAAGTTAAGAGCCGAACCGGTTACCGGTGAGCGAGCGCGCACGCGAATGACGAGAGCCCGGCTGACGCTGACCGGTCAGAATTTAGCCGCGAGACGCGGAGCGTTCTGCGCGCGCGCTTCTCCCTCCACCCGCGAAAGCGACGCGACTTATGAATGGGAGTAGTATTCGCTCATTGGCCGCGTCCGATAGCCAATGGCTGCCGGCGCGCGCTCGCAATCGACGCGCGGCAAGTGAAGCGAGAAGCGACATATGCATATGTATAATACACCTATAGCTCGTGTATACTGATACTTATAATCCGCGAGAAGATCGAGATGAGATATATTGAAGTAAATCAACCGGATCCTGTTAATACTGTGTCCCACTAAGGTTTCTTTTTAAAAAATTAATCGCGAGATCGCTTCAACTTGTAGCTCAAATTTCATAATTTTACATTGTTTAAAAAATGCACAAATAATGCTTATTATTATTTTTCGACTTGACTATACTCGTATACTTAATTATTGCACGCAATTTTTAATTTTAATTCCAACGAGTAATTTCACGCGAAACTAAGGAGAATCGCGCTTATCGTGCGGAATCAGAGATAGATAACATAAAGAATAAAGTATTAATTCCGCTGGCATTAAGATAGCAATTTGACGAGACGAGATAGTAATTTCAATTTCTACGCGAGGATGAAACGTCGCTTTAATGACAAGAGGGCGGTAAAGATAATTGCCGAGTACTAGAGCGAGCGAGCAATACACGCGAAGAAATGTAACGACTTCACAGACGTCGTTGCAAATCTATTCGCAGTTTGTGTGACGGATATATAAGAGCAGGGTGTAACATTAGTACGTACGACAAATACCGAACGGCAATTATCGGCTAACTTATGGAAAGTATAGGGAACGGGCGACGCGCGGCGACCGCTCTTATGACAAAGAAGTGAGCGCAGTTCTATCCTGGGTACGTCAAGGTGACGACGCGACGGGGATGACACCATATTTCGATGACGGAGACGAGAGCGCGATATTACATGGCATTATATTACAGATACATTGCACCGCTTTGTGAACGCAGCCGCCTCGCGCGAGCTTGCGTTTACGCGCATTTACGGACTGGCGTCATCTATCAATTAGCCGGCTCATAGTCGTCTATTGCTGCTATCCTCATCCTGTATCTCGCGATTGTGACTCAATTACAAGCAGCGATGCACGAGTTACGTCTCGCATTTCCATCATCTAAACTCGTGAATCATTCAACACGCATTGCTTAGATAGTAAAAATGAGTCTTGACAATCGTCGCCTGGCATTCGATTATGATATATTATATCGATACCTATTATTACGAACGTGATTCATATCGTTTATTTTATTCAAATACTTTTACCAAGATTTAAAACTCTTCCTATTCTTATTCACATAATTCAAAATATCAATAATCTACATATATATATATATATATATATATATATATATATATATACACGCAATATTTCTAATATGCAGGTATAATAAAATTTACCGCTTCTAGCAATTTGATTTTATCCCCACACGTCACCGTATTTTGTCTTCTCCTGCAACGGTGGAGTACTACTGGCTGTGGGAACTCGTTGGTTCGTCTCATTTCTTGGCGGAGGTCTTTCTGGAATTCTAGGAGTGTACCATTGCTTGTTTTTCTTATAAAATTCATCCCTATTTTGGTGCCTTAACTCGTCGTAACTGACGCCTTTTTGTAGATTTATTGGTTCAGTTAGATCCGTATCCTCGGAGACTTGGAAATCACCTTGGGAACATAATTTACATATAATTAGCATTGCATTATAGAGAAAAGATTTGACGATGGATAATTTTTTACAAAACTTACTGCTATCATTAAGACTAGAATAAGCGTCATATGTGTTCATCGATGGATAATCATTGAATACTACTCCTGTGGATGGTTCTTCCGAACTCTGAATCTCTGATTGCACATCCATTGGCTGAAAATCTTGATACTGCCTCTCTCTAAACAGGATACATATGAGATTCGCTTCGACATAAAAGACAAATACAGTCAGGGTTGGCATTTTGTCCACTTTTTTTCATTTTTTCATGTTCAGGTTACTGGAAGAAAGTGGACAAAATGGACAAAATGGATGAAATATGAAATAATATAGAAATCGATAAAATAAAAGATAAAAAGTTTTGTTGTGATTAACAACCCAAGTTTGTCAAAAACCAAAGTTCTTATTTAATAAAGTTTATTTTGTCTGAGCTTGTTGCATTAAAAAAATTTTTTTTTCAGTTTTGTTCATTTTGTCCAGCAGATATATTTCTTTTGGGATGGACAAAACTGGAAAAAACCAGGGGGGTTTTTTTCACCCTGGATAGTGGATGCCAACCCTGAAATACAGAGATAAAGAGATTGAATTGTCTAGAGTAGAGATGATACCTCATAAGCCTATGTGGAGGGAATTTATAGCCTGCTTCTTCCAATCTATCCTTGAGAGTGCTGTTTGGTAAAGCTGCAAGTTTTGCCAGGCATATATCAGCAATGGCTATCCTGCTCGATATTATGCCCAACAGACCACCAACAATGGCAGAATATTTTGCTTTGGAGCGAAATGGCGTAATTCTAAGCACTCCGTATCCAAAGGCTGCACCAACAAGTCCTGGCACTATGAAACTAGAGTTCTTCATACATGTCTCCCAGGCTTTCAACTCCTCTGGTGTCAACCCCGTCACACCCTGCAATTTACATGATTGATGCAATTACATTCTGAATTTAAATTATTTAATTGTTATTAATGTTAGCTTCAAAAAAATACTTTGTAATGCACAATCAATTATACATCTCTATATATGATGCAATTGCATTGTGGATTTGAATTATTTAATTGTTATTAATGTTATAGCTTCAAAAGTATACTTTGTAATGCACAATCAATTATACATCTCTATATATGATAAATGAAATTTATATTAAACAATATGTGAATAATTGCTTCGTTTCATTATTTTTGTCGGCACGAGTATATATGTTTTACATTTTATTTAATTTATATATAAATAGGGGTAGTTTCTAACCTGCATTTTCTGATAATATTCATAATCGCGTTGCTGCACATCTGTCACGGTAGTCGTCATGATTTATAAGTATTTGAACACTACTTTAACCGCATTAAACGTGAAAAATCTGCGTAACAAATATTAATTATTACAAACAATCAAGTTTAATTTAACCGACAGAAAGTCCGCAATAACCTATCTCTGGCGATCGGAACAATGATGTCAACGCCATCTGTACCTTGCTAAAAGAAGTTAATTTCTTCTCAATCGATTAATCAGTAAAGACAAATCTTGGAGAGACAAATCTTATTCTATTATTGTTAAATTGTAAATTATTGTTACATATGTATATATTTATAATTTTCTTCTCTTTAATTCACAATATATTTTTTGTACATTTCACAGTGCCAAAGTATTTATAATAAGTGTCAGAATAAGACTAATTTTTTTCTTAGAAAAAAATATCCATCTCGATATAAAAAAAATAAAAGAAAAGATTTTTACTATATATTTTTTATATATAATTGCGTTATAATGTGTCAATTTTATATTTGACGCACAATATATCTTTAAATTTTCAGTCACATGACATATGTTAAAATAAGAACTGAGATATATATCTTTCGATTCGAATGACGCGATGATTTATTTACATAACCGCGCTAATTTAATTTTACCGCGCCGTTTAGCACGACAATATGCAGAAATAAAGTCGAGAGCAGACTTACCTTGAAAAATTATTCAACAATCTATTTTTTATACTTATTTTGTTCGAGCATCGAAATCAGAGATGTGTCTATTAAAATTAAAATTAAATTTTTATATCAATTAAAAACTTTTAAACCGTGTTGAAATTGTTGCGAAAAAGATATACATGTCGCATTAATACATAAATACTCATGCAAGAATTCGAGAGCCTTGAACGAATGAAAATTATTTGTGTAATATTTTCATTAACAGTTTTTTTTTATTACAAGAGTCACTGAAATGTTTCGTAAAATCTGAACATTTTTCGCAAATACGCGCAATTTTTTTTACTCTAATAATTAGTATATACATTAAAATTAAAATAATTTATCGCTTTTTTTTAATAAAAGCTCAGTATCTTACTTGAAACTTTATCCAATATATTTATACGATTAATTTAAATATTCATTTTTATTTTTGCGACTTTGCAAATATTCATCTTCACGAGACTTCAATTTATATGTATATAAGGATGCAGTCGCGTGTTGCATTGTGCGGAAATTTTCCGCTACCACTTATGAACAGATCGAGAATACGTAATGCAAAAGCATCTACGTATATAAGGCGGTGGTGTTAACGAGGGACGGATGTTTGTCGCTATAAAAGTAGCGATCGAGGTGTCTGAGGTCTCTGTTACTTTAAAATGTCGCGCACGGTTGCATGCCGGTCCTTCCGGTCGTCTCAAATTGTGCTCTTATTGTTAGTACTTACATTAATATTATCATCAACGACGTTATGGCGAGCGGATGCCAGCCCGTTACCGGATCCCACGCAGGAGTACCAGAATTTGTTATCCGAAGCTTCGACGATCAATTTGACAGATACCTCAACAGACAATTCGACGGAAATTCCGGCCAACACCGACGTGTAATTTCTTTTCTGAAATAATATATATATGTTATTATAAATAATATAATATATTATTAAAATATATATAATTAATATCCAAGTAGCAAACTGACTTGCTACCTGGATGCATTTATATAATTGCAATATTTTATATATATTACAATTATTATATAAATGTATTATTATATGTATAAAATGCAATAAATATAATATATACGTTTCGACAAATTTTTAACATTATTATAAAAGAAGAAGAGATTCGAATTATACACACTGCTACAAATATCTCATATCGTTTTCAGATACGTGATAAAAGCTGTAGTCTACGAGATTGGAATTCTTACAGATACAGATAATACAACTAATACCGAAAGTACTGAAAGGTAATACAATATTCTATTTTATCCTTTACATGTCCTCGAGAAAATTATTATTTTGTAAAAATATTTAATTTCGATATTTAATCTCTTTTTTCTTACATTTTTTTGCAGACACGAAAGAGTAGATATATCGCTGTACGATCCACCGCATCAAGAAGACGAATTCTCCTAATGAAATCTTCTTAAAAACGAAGCGAACGTATAAATGGATACAAAATACGCATTTATGGAGATCGGAAGCGAGAATCAAAATGACATTATTTTACTGGAAAAATTGCGTATAAGGAACGACAATTTTTCAGTAAATAAGTGTATAAATTATTAATTATAATATTATATTAGATTTTAATATAATGGAGTAACAAAGTGTAACAAATACTTGATGTATACGCAGTTTATAAAGATTTCAATATCAAACTTATAATGCTATGAGACGAGCGTTTCGGAATTCAGAACAAATGTTTATTATTTTGTCATTTAATTATGAACAATATATTTCGTGTACAACGCTATAAACACATTGCTGCTGCAAAACCTGCGAGGCAGAAGAAAGTCGCGGAACAATCAGGTAACATAATTCGCAGAATGATAGATATACGTAGTAAATTAGCTCGGTCGGAGCATGCGCAACACACATATTATTTTCTGCAATTTAACGCTATTTATTTTGTGGAAGATCTTCGTGAAAGACTTTAACAGTCGCTTAAACGTACGTAGAAATCTTTTCTGTCTTCTTCTTTTTTTTATATATTGGAATGCAAATAAGCGCGCAAGTTTGACAGCCCCGATTAATTATACGTGTATCGTGTACAAATTTCGACCAAATATTACGACAAAAGGTAATAAAAATATTCTCGATTCTCTCTTTCTCTTTTTTGTTCTGCTCGTATCGCATTGTTAAACTAACGTACATTCAATTACGACAGTAGGCACTGCACCTAAGTACCTTTGCCTTATCGAAGGAATAAGCAAAAGCACCAGTTCGTGGAGAATACCGGTCTTACATAGTATTGAACGGCGTTACAATTAAACTCTCCTTTCTCCTCCGCATTTCTATAATGTACAAATGTGTATAGAGTACTAGATGTTTCGTGAAAAATCAATCAAATTGTGATTCCGGCAAAATTTATGACGTCTCCTCTCTCTTCCTCTTTCTCTCTCTCTCATGGTACTCTATAAATTGCGCAAAAATCGCAATGATACAATGTTCATTCTTGACGTATCCATTCTTTGCTTTCTTTTTTTTTTATTTTGATAAAGACCGTTACCTACGTATAAATAACAATTTACGAAACTCTTAATAATTATTGTAAAATATATAGGATAGGGGAAAGACCTCACTTTCGCGAAAGTTAGCCACTCGGAGAGAAAAAGGGACGGAGTAGGGAAAGGGATATATATACCTAATAATTAAACATCAAAATTATTTCCTATGGTTGAGCGTGTCGATCATTTTCGGCATTTCGGATTTATTCGAAGAGAAATACCCTGCGCCCAGCGTCAACGTTTTCTTAAAGCATAATTAACGTGGTTTCTAATAAAAAATAGAGAAGGCATAATATATTTCCGATCGTTCTCACGTACTCAATTCGATACTGATATGATTTTCTCTTCCTATTGCCATAGATCGTATCTAACATAGGCAGGGGGAAATGTTATTTCATTTAGTATCTTCTTTAGACACTGACGTGGAATCGGCGATGTCGGTGGACGTTGTTTTCAGAGAATCTGCTGCTGTTACTGCAACTTGTTCAACTGGCGGCTTTTCCTTCTCTACAGCGTCCTCCGTGACATCCTTTTCGTTTTCTACGCTCTTGAAATTCCTAGAATTAGCGTGCTGAGTTTCCAACGAATTTAACGGATGTTTGTCAACTGGTAATTCGTTAGAATCGATATTCTCGTCCGCGGAGATCACCCTGTTCTCATCGCTTTTGCTGCTGCTGAGATTAGTTTCCATAGTCGTCGGTAAATCAGTTCCGATCACTTGACTACTTACACAGTCTCTGCTTTTTTCGTCATCTTCAAAACTTTCGCTAAAGGTCTTATCCTTCTCCGTTAAATTAGCAGTCGTTATTTCCGATGTCTTCTCTTTAAGTTCATCGTCGCTCATTGTCTTTTTATCTTCGCTCGTGGTGTTATCTATACTTAGTGTATTTTCGAAATTTTCAAAATTGGCCCAACCGGTGGATTCCACTGGCTCCGATGACGTCACCTCCCACGGATTAACCGGTGGAAGTACAGTACCGGTATTCACCGGCTCGGCAGTATCCCAAGCTGTTTATTAAATATTTCGATAAAATAATTAAACACAAGCTTCGAAATGCCAGCTAATACAAAAATTTTGGCTGAAAACATACGATCAGTTGTGTCGACCTCCATGTGCACGTCGCGTGGATCCTCGTCATCCTCGTCCGACGAACTGGAGTCCTGATGCTGTTGCTTGGAGTGCCAATCCCGCTTGTCCACTACGGTCTGGAACGTGAGTTCGCCCTCGTCGCTGATACAGAATTCGCCCCATTCTTGTCCACTGCCACAGTCTTCCAGCCCGGCTTTCTGCTTTTGTTGGCACAGCTTTAAATAAAACGTTAATTTTCTCGTTAGATTTGGAATATTTAATATAAAATATGCGTTCTTATTTAATAAATATTCACCTTATTGAACATCTCTTCTCGTTTGTCGAGATCTTCTTCACTGAGAGTAAAGGCCAACGTTGTTAATTGGTCAACTGGGTTACTATAATATTATATTTCTTAAAGAAAACAGTGGAGGAGACAAATGACAATGACGATACTACGGCGCGCTCTCTTTACATGTGCGCTTTCTTGACTCCAGCAAGCCCTACGATTGCCCCCCACTCTAGTAGTGTTATGATTTTTTTAGCTATATGAAAAGGATAAATTTCTTATATATATATATATACACTTACTGAAGCGCATCATCACCATCGTTGAACTCGTCATCGTGGAATCCGAAGTTTTCGATGAACGGAGGCGTTATTTGTTGGTTCTGATAATTAGAGTACATCTAATACAACAGATCAGAAGATAAATCAAGAGTACAATAATAGTTTATATATAAATATATAGATAGGAAATAGTAGATGTTAACTAACCTGTTGGACGTATACATCTTGCGAGTAAGGATTAAAGTCATCCGGATTTTCCTCAGAGCTCATTAGATATATTGGGGTCCGATCGCCCTAAAAATTCCATTGTAATTAAAATTAAATGTTATTTTAAATTATCATAGGCACAATATATTTGTCGAACAGCATAGAAAAAAAGTAAATAATATAGAATATATTACATTACCATCATCATAGTTTGATGAATTTTATTAATCTCTACTAATTGTGTATTCACAAGATTTTCCCATTTACTAAGACACTCAGGTGACAAATTGTTTCTCAAGAAGCTGGCCAGTATATTACTTTTCTCGCACTGGCCAACGATATTGTTCGCGATATTTATTAAATGCCCCATGTAGCCCTGACGAACGCCATTCTCTTTGGTTCTGCAACCGAATTACAACATTACAATTCTGAAATTTCTTTTATATGCGAGTTATTCCGCAAAATAACAATTTAATAATCTTACTGTTTACTCTCGTTTTTGTCCCATGCTTCCAAGATCCTCTCTATTAATTTGCACTTGATAAATATCTAAAAACACATGTGTTTGAGTTAGTTAATGTTTTTCTCGCAATAAAAGACGTGTATCTTACATTATTGTAAATAATATCATTATCCCGATGTCCGCAATTAATAGCTAAGGCCAGGCACTGTTGTACTTGTGTATGTAGGAAATTATTCCACGTATATTTGAAAAACAGATCCTGCAACATTTAGAATTGAGTAAAAATGACGAAATAATTATACATATAACTTAAAATATGTCCTTATAATGCAGTCTTACCAATAATGTTTGGAATGTTCCCAAATTTGATAAACTTTCATGGATTTTTAAATTTTCCGTCGACAATAACGCACTTAACAACTTTGCTACATGCAAACGAGTATTTCCCAATGGACATTCTAAAAGTCCTATGGTTGTTTTTACAGCAGGTTTCTGTGCAAAAGAAATTTAGTGGTTCTTAAAATACGAAATAAAATAAATCGAAGACTTTGATATATATATAAATACAAAATTCTGTTGATAATATCTATATGAAAATAATCATAATATATCTCTATATACAATTAAAATATCTATAATTTAAAAAACAATTTAAGACACAAAATAAATTATTAGAAGCAGCTCTTACATATGGCGGATCCAAAAGAAGTTTATGAAGATGTTCCAAATATGGTAAAATAGCATTTGAAATTTTAATACGTTGCTCATTATCCGCCACTTCATCGCCATTACCATGTATGTCTCCTTCGTTTGACACACTGCACAAAAATTCGAATTGTTATATATTGTGCTTCATTTATTTATAAATCTCTTAGTATCATAAAATATTTTCGTCATACTTGTTAGCTTTTTGACCTAAAAGTACCAAAAGCACTTGTATTCCACCAACAATACTAGTTTCCACCTTTTCTCCAGTCAGAATAGTTTCTAGTAATAGACTCACAGTTTCTCCTCTGCAATAGAACATTTATTGTTTGAATATTCATGTAAAACTTGTAATAATTATTTGTGTATTTACAGATATACTCACGATTCTAGAGTATTTAAAATAGGATCTGGATCAGTACGCTCTGTAGATGTACGTTGATTTTCTCTGGCCACTGCCACCATGTCGCAAAGTAATTGCGCTGCATTGGCATGTTTGGTTGATTCTGCAGTAGGTGCTAACAACTTTACCAATCTCTGCACTAAATGTTGACTATCTAACCACTATGAAAAATACACATATATTAGAAAAAAGTATAAATATGTAGTATATTAATTATATATAATTACATAATGTATTATATAATATATTATGTAATTATATTATTTAGTATATTTTTATGTATGTATAGTAATATATTAATAGAATAATCTGTGCAAAAAAACATCTTACATTCAATATATTTTGGCGCATATCGCTGCCCTCAACCTGAGTAACAAGTTTCAGTACTAGATCCATAATAGCAGAAGTCTCTAAGTGTTGCAACAATAGATCTACGCATCTCTGGCGACTTTTAAGAAATTCTAAAACCTGTAAGCATGTGAACTGATAGGAATACCAATTCTGGAATAGATGGAAATATAGGATGGATAAGTATATGGGGATAACATAGGAAAGAGGCAAGAGAAAAAGAGTTTATTATTATTTAACTAATATTATTTGCTAACAGCTTGAATCAGTTTCATATCAGCTTTCATATCAATCTCAAAGAGAATTAGCACAATTAAGAGTATGTATACAATTAATTCATCTAAATATTATAAATTTATATATTTTCCTCTATGTAGAAATAAATAAAAAAAAAATATATATATATATATACATAGTTAGTTACCTGATCACTTTTACGAGCAACAAGTACTCCAATAGTTTTACTGAAAAATGATGCAAGTAGTGGATTTAAAGGCTGATCGGTATCTATAAAAGAATATAATTTGGCCAAAAGTGCCTCATCACCTGTAAAAGCATTTCAAGATGTAAATTTGACAAAATGTACATAATTTTCAAAATAAATAAGTACTCTCTCATTATATCGTACAAAGAACAACAAAGCGTACCTGCCAATTTCTCATTTAATGTAGGCACATCACATGTGAGCAACTCGCAGGCGACATTAGGATACTTATAACGCCAACGTTCCTCAATGTCCGTAGATGGTTCCTTAGTGGCTAGCGTCACCAATTCTTCCATCACAGCGGGCCTTGTGAGACTGTCAATTACATATTTGTTGTTAATTTTTCTCACATCAAATACTACCTAAACTTGTATGCGAATACATTTGACACAAATTTAAATCCAAAGAGAGCTGCAATATTTTCACTTACTATTCGACCAGTTTTTTGTTCTGACTCTTGCATTCCTGCAGGATGTCCTCCTCGTCCATCAACTCGTGCAGCGTGACATCCTGCAAACCGCGAGTTCTACATTAAGCACCATCGTCCGATGACGTTGTAATAGAAGGGTGGAGAGGGGGGAGAAGTTTTTCTGGGGACAAACGAGAGGGAAGGAAAGAATTGCTCAGAACATTTCCGGGGAGGAGAGGGAAGTATCTACTTGCCTCTTTGTTGAGCAATGCCTCTATATGCGGCGATGACACGTAATTATTCGTCCAGAACATGATGCGGCCGTTGGGTTTTCACTATTCACGGCTCAACACCTCACAGAATATCGCGTCGCGATTCGCCAGCGATGATGCTCCGCACGATCGCCCGACTCGCATCAGCGTGGCGCAGGAGACGCGCGCGCGAGGCAGGAACCTGGGGATGGCGTGGCACGATGTCGCGCGAACTCGTCGTAGGAAACGCAGAGCCGTCGAATACGGCTAACATCGCATCAGGACTCCGCCAGGTTCTCCTTCCGCCGTGTCGTGCGCGCGAGTCACTGTCTCCAGATCCTCTACCTTCGTGTCACCGCCACCTCCTTCTCTTCGCTCGCTCTCTCTCTCTCTTTCTCTTTGAGCGCCTCGAAAGATTGTCCGCGACTTTAGACTCTAGGTCGCTGCTGCGTGGTATCGCGCACTCTCCTTCCAGGAACCACGGACTCCGGACTCGAAATGCGAAGCAATGCGAAGCGCGAAACGAGCGCGGTTGGACGCTCTCGACCGCGAGCGGACGCGCATGCGCGAGCGAGGAGCGCGAAAACGTCCCGTTTTTCTCCGAACGATTATTTTTTTAAGCACTTTTTTCTTTTCTTTTTTTAACTGTTAAATTCTTTATGAAATAGTTGCATATATCATGTCTATTATTATGTTTATTATTAGAAAAAGAAAAGTTGCTTGCGAAGTGCAAAATGAGATATTGTCCAACTGCACTTTCTTGCACTTTTGACATTTAATGACGTCTGACGTCTACTATATATTTTGACACTTGAAAAGAAGGAAAATGCAAAGTATAAATGAGACAAATAATTATGAATAATAAATTGATATTATATATGGAATAAAGATTGGAATATGTAAATTGTAGTCTCAGTAATAGATACAAATATTTTTATTCAATTGCTTGTCTTGATAACTTTATGCGCCATGCTTAACTGCTTAATTAGTTGTTCAAGAGCGGCTCCGAGTTTTTTCTACGGGTCTCGTTATCTTTTCTAGCCACGTCAAAAGACGTTGAATTAAAAAAATGGTAAATAGAAATTATTATTATGTTTTTTAAGATTTATCAGTCAATCTATTTTTATTGGAATTATTAATATCTTGTAAAATACGAAAAAGCTTAATTCAAGTTAGCTATAACCTAAAAGAATTATTTTAATTTTTACATATATCGAAGGAAATAAGAGAAAAAGAAAATAAAATGGAATCAAAATTACGCATTTTTATACTCTAATCAATTTCATCTATTTAATAAATTTAGGTGGAAATTGAGTCAATGACGAGATACGTCTCGCCGGTGAATCCAGCTGTTTTTCCCCTGCTGGCCGTGGTACTGTTAGGAATTGGAGTATTCTTCACAGCTTGGTTCTTCGTATATGAAGTTACAAGCACGAAATTCACACGAGACATATTCAAGGAACTGTTAATATCTTTGGTCGCAGCGATATTTTCTGGCTTTGGAGTGTTATTTCTGTTACTCTGGGTTGGCATTTACGTATAGTTATAGGTAAATAATGTCAACAAAGTTTTTTTAATTGTGGAAATATATCATTTATTATTAGCATATATTAAATAAAATTTTACCACATTTGCATCTCTGTTTCAGATTGAATGAAAGTAATAAATTACTCGATGATTATTCAAGCTCAGAAGGAAAGATTTTTTTGTTATATTTTATCACTGCAGTTAAATAAACACAACCGTGAATACTTCCTTGCGCATAAGTTTATTTGTTCTCTTTATCACAATGAAGGCATAAAAGTTCATAGCACAGGTACACAATGATTTTTGTTGCACCTTGAGAAAATAAAGGCTAGCATTTATTTTTCACAAACGCAGATTGCGAATATAATTAATCTAATCATGCAGTTATGTATAATTGTATAGTCTTGTGTGAAAAGAATTATCATCTATATCCACATTCGAATGTGCAATAATTACTGTATCTTCATTAAACATATGTATTTTTTATTATAAATATTTCTTTATGTAAAATGATTTTCCTTTCATTCCATTGTGAGCAGAAGAAGATGGAGTTTATTGTCGATAAAATAATCCCTCATATTCTTCTGCTACTGGCAAAAGTTGTATTCAATTTTCACCACAAAGTAAGAGATATTTTATAACGAAACGAAATATTGCAACACTCTCTAGAACAAAAGGTGTGAGGAGCATTTTTCAACCGGCCAAACCAGCTTTTTGTCGACATCTTTGCATCAGCGCTCTTAACATAAATTGTCTGCGCGACAATTGTCGAACTTGCTTTAAGAACGCATCCAGATCTATGATGCCGGATCGCAGGCCCTCGGCGAGATAGTAAATAGCATCCTCTGTAGCCGCTTCTTCGGCAAAAGCATTTAGCATCCTGGAAATAGAGAGAATAATATTACAATTTATATTCATTAATTATCTTGCAATTTAACTCTAATAATTTTCAATTGCAGATCATATCAAACCGTACTAAATTTATTTTATTGTTACTTATGCGAATACACTTACTGTTTATACAACGGTGCTATAGTAGTTACAGCTTCGTCAACGTCTATCGATTGATTATCGGACAGCTTAGCGATCTCTTTCTCCAATTCTGCCTCCTTATCTTGTAGGATATTCACGTTCTTCTCCAGTTCCTGCTTCTCTCTTCTGAGTTTCTCAAACAGATCTGTTAAGTGCGACGAGCCGCTCGTCAGTTCTTGCTGCGTTCGTCGTAGCGTCTCAAGTTCCGCCTGTAGCTGCGAGAATTGCTCCTTCAACCGACGTCGGAGTTTATCTTCTACTGCAGATAGCAGAGACGCCCTTATGTGTTCTTCCGTGATCGTGCCCGAACCACCAGAGCTTGATTGTATTGTCGGTGACTAGAAAAAATTATTCATATCCTTTATTAATCTGATAATTATAATTTTAAGTGAAATTACTGACTAATATTAATTAACTTGCTAATTGTAAATATTCATTACAGATTATACAAATGTCATATAGATTAAAATAAATGATGACAATTGTAATACCGGCTGTGTGGCTGGCGGATAAGGCGGATATGGACCATTGTAGCCTTGTGGCGGGTAGCTAGGAGTAGATCCAGCATAAGAACTGTAAGAACCCGGATATGGAAATCCCCCGGATGCTGTAGACGGATACGGTGGATACACGTTGCTGCCGCCAGAGTATTGAGAACTCGGTGGATATGGCGGGAAACCGGAATTCGATACATTCCCACTACCAGGTATAGGCATGAATGCTGCAGGAAAGGTTTACATTGCAAAATATTAGATAAAAAAATAAAAATTATTATAGTCCCATGCAAGTAAAACATGCTTACATTGAACAGGATATGGTGTAGAGCTCTGTTGCATTTCTGATCTCGACTTGGCATAAACTGGAGGTTGTTCTCCAAAGGTGACAATCATAACTTGAATTAGAGAGAGCAAATCAGAATTGTGCTGTAAAACAAAAGTAGAATAAATATATTAGATAATTATGTATTCTCAAGTAATTAATAGAATAATTCTACTTACAGGCACCCAATCGTGAAGATATGGCAAATAGATTTTACCATTGTGATCCACAAACATACTAACTTTAATATGCATATCTGCTGTTGGCTTAACATAGCACATGGGTGCATTGTTAGGATGTGTATCCATCAACCATATGCAGATTGGAATATTATAGCAAGTCCCTATATAGAAGTAAGCAAAAAGAATAATATTTAATAGCAAATGTATAATTCATATTCGAGATTATTATTCAAAAGAAGAAAAAGTTACCTTTATAAACAACAGGTATGGTTCCTTGTACGTTGACCAAATCTTTGCGTGAGCCATCATTGAAAACTGAAATTGAACAGCAAATTTCAATGAACTTTCATATATATAAAGTATCGCTGTATACTCAAAATTGACTCCGACAATTTTACTTACCAAAAGGTTCAATTTCATAAACCAATCCTTTGTAAAGGTTCAAGACGCTCACTACATGCTTCTTTGTTATATCTGGATTTTGATACTAAAAGATAAGATCTCTTTTTAGATTACAAGATCATTGTAACAACTACTGTAAGATCATCGATGATGATTAAGAAAAGTTAAGGTACATGAGTATGTGTACCTTAGCCAGGCCTTGTCTGATCCTTCCCTCGTCCAACGGTGTCATTTTCACCATTAGCGTAGCTAATCAAGACAATGACAAGTCTCTATCAGATACACGTAATCGCGTTCCTCGATAGGCACAGTAATGATCTAATCAGCATGCAATCATCAAATACTAAGTTCGTGTTTACGTTATCGTTGAATGACGCGAGAGTTCCGCATGCACAATATAATCGTGAAAGCCAATCGCAAATTGTTCGCTAATCTGTCATCCGAGGGAGAGAAATGTCATAATGAACTGAATTGTACACATACATATATACGAAGATATACAGTTGTCCAATTCGGTCGCTGATTATTTTATCGAGAATAGAAGGTGGATCATGAGGCGGATGATCCGACAAAACTACACCAGATGGCGCTTCGAAAAATTTAAATAAACGCGCCAAAACACTTGTGACATTTTCGAACGTACCATAATTTTACAGTTTGACAGTTTAATATTTTATATTATACATTTTTTTTAATATTATACATTTTTTCTACTTTAAATTTTTCTTTATAAACAAACTTTATATAAAAAATATAAAGTCAAAATCAAATAATATTTTTTATTATAAAATTTTTCTGTGTTTAGTTTCCATTCTTGTTTTATTATTATAATGATCGATATATATATATATGTAGATATGTATACATTTTGTAGCGAATATTCGTTTGCGCGAGATATAAATATATATACAGAAAATGTATTCATAAAGTGATAAATATATGTATATATATATGTAGCCATCAGGTTATTAAATTTTAACCGGTTGATTTATTAGACGTGCTTATTTGAATACACAAATTGCCTCTTAGATAACTATTATAAGGTGATGATTTCATATATGATTTTACAAATATTTTACATAATATATACTTGCAGTAAAAAGATTATTATACACTAAAAAAATAATACATTAATTAATTGAAATAATTTCAGAATCATTGGATAAACTTTTTCCTAAAAATAATATATATTATTATATAAATATATCTATTAAAAATTCAAATTAATAATATATTTTCTTCAAAGCTTCATCTTGCAATTACTTTTTTCAGATTAATTCTCTCGAGTCTTCTTGTTACTTTTTCATTACGAGAAGAAAAAAATATCGACATTCCCATTATTGCTCCATATATCAATATTTATTTTACACGTCCTTCGAGCACCTAGTATATTCATATATATAGAGTGGATACGAAGTAATTAACCCAATCCGAGTAGGCAGGTTATGTTGGAAACAGGTGCTCAACGCGCGGGTGTCGCTTCTCCTTGAAGAATCCGGAGACTGTCCGGATGTAATTGAAGAATATATTGCATAAATTTCGCGCGACGCATATATTTTCAAGGACTCTCTCGATCAAGAATACAAAATTCCAGCGCGACGACGTGGCAATGTTGTCCAGACGCGCGTACGTCAGTTGCGACCTCGAAGAAGGCTAGACCAGGAAGACGTCGATCGGTCTCGAACGAGCCAGCGCTTCACGTGCTGTAATTACGAGTTCTCTTCAAGATTTCTTTTTTAGTATATTTCGAGTAATTTTAATATTTATTCCTGTGTCCTTAAAACGCTTTCTTTCTGAATCCTTTTTAAGAAGACGAGTCGAAAACGACTTCCTCGAGATTGATTTAATATCACCACCGGGTTTAATATTTTTTTTCGTGTTCCTTGATGCGTGTATGTTAGCAAAAATAAAAAATAATTTAACATTATTATCGATAAGTTTATCGAACATTATACCATTGCAACTATTAATTACTTAATTGACTATTTAAAAGTAATTCTCAGCCTAATTAGAGTAAAACTTTTTTACTTTAAAAAAGGCAATTATATATGTCAAGATTATATGTGAAAAGGCAATTATATGTGTTAAGATTATTATGTAAAGTGACATGTTTATGTCTATTTTGTTAATTGTTATAGAAATTTAGGTCTTCAAACATAAAATATTAAACATACTATAAATTATTAATAAAAATTATCTTTTATTTGTATAACTCAATTTTCTTCTTTAAAAGTTTTCTTAATAAAATTAATTTTGGTAGCAAAGAAGTTTTAAGAAATTAGAATCAAGAAATAACTACAAGTTGAATAATTTCACTATATGATTGCACTATAAATTGCACTATGAATTTTTATACATCAAGTAACATGTTTAATAAGTGCAAACAACAATCAATAATTAATTGGTTTTCATTTATCATTACAGGTGTTTCCAATCGATAAATGACTGTGGCTTCCAGAAGATATTTCTTCTGTTCTACTTTCTGATATTATAAATGCAATCATGTAGAGTTTAGCTCAGAGGAAGATGACGCCGCATTTTACAGCTTTGACTTCAGTGCGAAAGCGATGTCTGATTGTGCTCTTGTTAGTCCTGGTACCATGCGCGATTCTCAATCTACTGATGCCATCGGACATGCATGAGGAAGCTATATTGCAGAACGGCATCGCCGAGCTGCAAGCTAAGCTGGAGCATTTACATGCCAAATTAATTGGCAGCCAGGAGGAAATAAATCTATTATCTCATCAACTACTACAGTTGATCGAGAGCAATCATATCCTGCCAGATCTGCAGCTACTCATTAATAATGGCACCTCCAATGTCACCAGCATCAAATTGCCATCAATTTACAACTTTCTGCCACATTTTCTCAATGATCCAAATAGCTTGCGTCCGGCATTTGTGCAGAGTAAAGGTAGATCAGGAGTGAGCATGGTGTTAGGGGTACCAACAGTGAAGCGTGAGGTTCAATCCTATCTTATGGCAACTTTGAAAAATCTGCTAGACCGCATGAACGCCGAGGAGACCGCGGACACGCTAATCATCGTTTTAGTAGCTGAAGTGAGTGAAATCGTTGATTATGAAACAATCTATTAATTTCATTCGCATTTTTTCAGGCATTGAATTAATAAATTAACAAGCAATATATATATAAATTTTCTTTGCAGACAGACATGGACTATGTGACATATGTTGCAAAGCAAATTGAAGTTCAGTAAGTTTGTACAATTCGATTTATAATTTTCATTTTGTTTATCTTACTTTCTTCAAATTGAACAATTTTTCTTATGTAATGGCTCTTCTCGTTTTAGATTTCCAAACGAATATGAAGCTGGTGTGATTGATGTGATATCGCCATCATCGTCTTTTTATCCAGATTTGTCCAAGTTGCGCGACACCCTCGGCGACGATCACCAACGTGTCGTGTGGCGGTCCAAACAGAATCTAGATTTCGCTTTCCTTATGTCCTACGCTCAGACTAAGGGCACGTTTTATGTGCAACTAGAAGATGATATTTTGGCCAAGAAGAACTTTATAACTACTATGAAAAACTTTGCATTGCAGAAAATCGGCACAAAGGAGAATTGGTTTGTCCTCGATTTCTGTCAGCTCGGATTTATCGGTATGCCATTATTGTATACTGTATAGTAGAGCTAAATGTTGAACGAATATTACAAGTTTTTAATTAATATAGGAAAATTATTCAAATGTGTGGAATTGCCTTGGTTGGTTCAATTCTTTTTAATGTTCCACAACGACAAACCTGTTGATTGGTTATTAGATCACTTGATATCGACAAAAGTCTGCAGTCTTGATAAAGATAGTGTAAGTATAGTCAATAAAAAATAAGAGCTATTTAATAAGATAATTCGATCATTCAAAGAAAACTATATTTTTTTTGGCAGAAACATTGCAAAATGGCTAAAGCAGAATTGTGGGTGCATTATAAGCCCTCCCTTTTTCAACATATAGGAACGCACTCATCTTTAAAAGGCAAAGTACAGAAACTCAAGGTAACACATCCAATATTTTTACTTTTAATAATAAAAAAAATATAATATGATGAAATAAATTATAATTATATATCGAATTTTTTTAGGATAAACAATTTGGAAAGATTACGCTGTTCTACGCTCACGAGAATCCCGAGGCGATAGTAGAGACTCAAATTAAGCCTTACAAACAGTACACGTTGCAAAAAGCATACAAGGGCGAATCGTTTTTCTGGGGTTTGTTGCCACAACCAGGAGATCATTTAAAGTTTAAATTTTCACATCCTATTTTTATAAAAAGTAAGATAGTAAATTCTTTTATTTTAGATGCGAAATTTCGCGATTATCATATTATCTTGTGTTTAGGTACTTATTCAGGAGTGGAAATCCTGAACATCCATCTGATAGGTTTTATAATACGACGGTGGAAGTATTGTCCGAGATGTCTCCATTGTTGGATAGGAACAGCAATGATGTGACAGAGGATGGCTATGTTATTATAGGTAACAAAAGAAATCTTATACCCTTATATTATTTAATTTAACAAAAGAAATTTAAATCTTGACCGTGACCAAGTAAAATTTGGTGCCTTGTGCACAGGTATTTAATTCTAACGGAAAAAATTTTAGTTTCGTTGGGATAACGCACTGTCATCTGCGATTTGGCTCTTATTGCCTGTCTTACACTTTAAATTTATATTTAAAAATAATTTTTAAAGGATTGTTAAGAAATACATTATATGAATTAGGTAAATTTGATGTACTTGGTGTTGCTGAAGGGACCGTAGATCGAAGATTGGGTAGAATATCAGTGCTTCGTTTAACTATACATAGTGAGAGTGAAAACTGGGCCATTCTGTCCGAGGTAAAAAATTGCCGATAATATCTGGAGATTAATATCAATTTTTATTCTAAAAATATTATTTTTCCTTAACTAGATTCACATAGTAGAGGATCAACCAAGCTGACTAAAGGATGAAGCTTCTCAGGCGTTATTTCGATACCACCTGCACGGTTAGCGTAAGCGACTGATTTT